CCTTCATGAGTATACACACAAAACTCCTCAATAAGGTACTAGCAAATCGAAGTAAGCAATGTACACAACCAATATGCACTACGAGCAGGAGGGGTTTATTGTAGGTGGGCAAGGCCGGTTCACCATTTGAGTACCAATAAATGTTACCCCTCATTACCAACAGACAACAATAGGAAAACCACAAGGTCATATAAATGGATGCAGAAAAAACATCTGACAAAATTCAATACACATTCATGGTAGTAACGCTCAGCAAACTAGGAAGAGGAATGACCCTCCTCGACTCGATTTTAAAAATCTATAAAATACGCTACTATTACACATCCTAGTGATAAAGTGGATGCTGTCCCACCAAGAACAGAAAAGGCAAGGGGTGTCCTCTCGCACCCCTGGAGTCCTAGACGATGAAGGAAATAAAATATACACACTGGCAGGGAAGAATAAAGTGGTCTTTGCGCATAGATGACGTGATTCTCTATGCAGAAAATCCCAAAAGATCGACAATAAAAGTTCTGGAGCTAAGCAACAACAAGTTACGGGATACCAGGCAGGTTAATAACTAAAAGTCTATTGATTTCTTATATACTACAAATAACCAAGTGAGATTAAAAACACTATGCCCATTTACATCCCACTTCCCAGAAATGTGATACTTAGATATGTCTTTTATAGAAAGGCCACATGAAAAAAAACTACACAGCGCTGATGAAAGATCTAGAAGAAGAACTACATAAATGAAGAGATTTCCATGTCAATCATTAGGAAGGCTTGTTATTGTCCAGATGCCAGTTCTTAACAACTCAATCTATAAATTCAACGCAATTCCAATCAAGAACTCAGCAAGTCACCTGTGGTGACTGACAAACTGATCCTAAAGTTTAAATGTAAGGGGCAGAGACCCAGAAGAGCCAGCACAGACCAGAAGGAGAACAGAGTGGAGGACCGACTGCACTGATAGGGACTGGAGTGTGGTGTTGGTGAGAGAACGGACACACAGACTGTGGGATGAACAGAGCCCAGGAACACAGCCAACCCACCTCTGACACAGGAGCGAAGACCGAGCGCTCAACCAACGGTGCTGGAGCCACTGGCCATCCACGTGCAAAACGTGAAGCTGGACAGACCTCACAGTTGTCACAACAATGAACTCAAAGTGGATCAGAGCCCGCAATGTGAAATGCAAAACCATAAAACTGCTAGAAGATAGCTAAGGCAATAGATAGATGACCCTGGGTTTGGCAATGACTTTTTAGATACAAAATCAAAGGCACAATCCATAAAAGAAATCACTGAAAAGCTGGCTGGACTTCGTTAAAAGTAAAACTTTCACTCTACCAAAGACAATGTCAAGAGAGCGAGAAGGTAAGTCATGAACTGGGAGAAAGGATTTGCAGAGATTGCATGAAGTGTGATCTGAAGTGTACAAAGAATGCTTAAAGCGCCACACAAAAAATAAACATTCTGATTAACAAATGGCCAACAGACCTGAAGAGATACCTCACCAAGGGAGACACTCCAATGGCCAGTGAGCTGCCCATGCTGGCACATGGAGGCAATGAGCAGCACCAGCCTGTCAGCGCACAGGCTGGAACCGCCCCCAGTGCTGGCGGGAGCGGGTGTGTGTTTGTGTGTGTGTGTGTGTGTGTGTGTGTGCAGAGCAGCAGGAAGCTTGCTGCTCGTGGGCATGCACAGGGCGCAGCCCCTGGGAAGGCGGCACAGCACCTTCCTACAAAACTAAACATACTCCTCAGCTCCAGCAACCATGCTCCTCGGTACTGACACAAAGGAGTTGAAACTTATGTTGACACAAAAACCTGCACACAGATATTTATACGCAGCTTTATTTGTAATGGCCAAATTTGAAGGCAACCAAGATTACACTAGGCAGTTTTAAGAGGAATGGGATTTGCTATGAATAGTGGCAAAGGGTCCTGAGAAGACCGCCCAGCCCTTGACGTGTTACAGGCGGGCGGTGTGGTGGGTGTGTACCATGAGGCCAGGAGGCATCGCCAGCACAGAGAAGAGCCGCACGAACCAGCATGGGTGCCCGCGGATGCGGGAGGCCTGTCCGCCGTGCCTGTGTGGTGAGCTTGCTGACCTGGCTGTGCACCTCCTGGCACAGGCGCTCGCTGCCGTCCAGGGAGCTCGCCTGCAGGCCGGACTCGGAGTGTATGCTCTCGGGATGAAGGGACAGCCCCAAGACGCCACTCTGTCTGCCGCACCTTCGGGCCCCGACACCCGGTAACTGTGCTCAGCGCTCCGCGCAGGTCTGCCCCTTGACGTTTTCCAAGCTGCCCCGTACCTTTCTGAATGTGAGATCTTTGGAAAAGGAATGGTGTCTGACTTCCCTTCAGTCCCGACATCACCATGCAACAATCAGCTCCCGGCCAAGGGGTGTGGTTTGAAAACGTGTTTTTAATATTATGGAATAATTTCAAAATTTGTGGAAATGAAAAGTATACATGGTAAGTACAAAGCATGCCCAGCCTGCCAGCGGCTCAGCTGCGCTCAGAGGGGCAGGCAGGCACAGTGCCGTCCGCGTGTAGGCACCTCTGTGCAGCATGAATAGGATTTCTTACCTGGAAAACACAAACACTCAGAACAGAGGGAAAGAGAGAGAGAAACATCAATGATCAGAGAATCACTGAACACTAAACAGCTGCCTCTTGCATGCCCGCAACCTAGGCATGTGGCCTGACCAGGAATCGAACTGTGACCTCCTGGTTCATAGGTCGACGCTCAGCCACTGAGCCACGCCGGCCGGGCTGAAGCAAGTTCTTAAAGAAAAAGGACATCGTGAGAGAAGGGACCCTGGAGCAGCAGGGAGGGAGGAAGGTCACGGGAAAAGCAAACCAGAGCTCTGAGAAAGGACGCGGGGCTGGTGCGATGGAGTGACAGGGCCAGTGCCTGCCACACCGGGTTTCGGCCTCTGTCTCCTGCACTCACGCGTCACCCACATGCTGGCCGCCCACCCAACAGGCAAGACTCCCCCTTCTTCCTGGTGACAGGCCATGCTGTCGCTCTGAACTGAGCATCGTGTGACGATCAGGGGCCAGCTCCCAGGCCTACAGACCAGCCTCACACTCGGTCAGAGCCCTGGGGTACATATCCCTTTGCCAGTCTCGGCTCAGACCCGGGCACGGCAAGCAGGGCTAGCCAAGGACTAACACAGCTTCTCCGGCCTGGGAAGGAGGGTGGTCAACACATGCCATGAGCTAACGCTCCCATTTCTCCATAAGGGGCGCCTGAGCCAGAGGACACGCCCACCTGCGAGAGAGGACAGACAGACAGACAGACAGAGCTGCATTCCTCAGTGCCGGCACTGAAGGGCTGCGTGAACCAGATCTACACCACCTGACCTTTAGACTCAATATTCAAAAGTTTTTCTTTCCTGTTCCCCGAGCGCCACGTTAACAGGCTGGAGCCTGCCCACACGTGAGGGCAGGCTCTCGGGGTGTTCGCTTGCTTTTCCACGGGTCTCACTGTAAAGGAGGCGGCCACGGACCTCTCCCCGCCTGGAGCTTTGTCTGAACTTAGGACATATTTTCCAAGCACAGGACTGTGATGTCAAGTGACAGGAGCAGGTCTGATGTGAAGTGTCAAACTGACTTCTGTTCTCGGGAAGCCTCCCCGCCACGTGACAGTGTCTCACACATCCCACCCAGCCAGAGCGCACAGCTCCCAGGCCACCACGGCCCAGTCACGGCCACCGGGCCTCGGCCTACAAGCCCTGGTCGTCTGTCAACCTTGGCAATTCCCTTCCTCTTGCAGTGACCAATTCTGGCAGGCCCGCGTGTGGGGACGGGGAGGACGGCCCGTGGCGTGTGGGGACGGGGAGGACGGCCCGCGTGTGGGGACGGGGAGGACAGCCCGTGGCGTGTGGGGACGGGGAGGACGGCCCGTGGCGTGTGGGGACGGGGAGGACGGGACGTGGCGTGTGGGGACGGGGAGGACAGCCCGTGGCGTGTGGGGACGGGGAGGACGGCCCGTGGCGTGTGGGGACGGGGAGGACGGGACGTGGCGTGTGGGGACGGGGAGGACAGCCCGTGGCGTGTGGGGACGGGGAGGACGGCCCGCGTGTGGGGACGGGGAGGACAGCCCGTGGCGTGTGGGGACGGGGAGGACGGCCCGTGGCGTGTGGGGACGGGGAGGACGGGACGTGGCGTGTGGGGACGGGGAGGACGGCCCACGTGTGGGGACAGGGGAGGACAGCCCGTGGCGTGTGGGGACGGGGAGGACGGCCCGTGGTGTGTGGGGACAGGGAGGACGGCCCCGTGGCGTGTGGGGACGGGGAGGGCGGCCCCGTGGCATGTGGGGACGGGGAGGACGGCCCGTGGAGTGTGGGGACGGGGAGGACGGCCCGTGGCGTGTGGGGACGGGGAGGGCGGCCCCGTGGCGTGTGGGGACGGGGAGGGCGGCCCGTGGAGTGTGGTGACGGGGAGGACAGCCCGTGGCGTGTGGGGAAGGGAGGTCAGCCCGTGGCGTGTGGGGACGGGGAGGACGGCCCGTGGTGTGTGGGGACAGGGAGGACGGCCCCGTGGCGTGTGGGGACGGGGAGGGCGGCCCCGTGGCATGTGGGGACGGGGAGGACGGCCCGTGGAGTGTGGGGACGGGGAGGACGGCCCGTGGCGTGTGGGGACGGGGAGGGCGGCCCGTGGCGTGTGGGGACGGGGAGGGCGGCCCGTGGCGTGTGGGGGGACCTGTGTTTCTGTGAGCACAGCCAGGTGCAGAGATGGCAGCAGTCAGAGGTGCAGTGAAGCCCCCAGTGAACCAGCCCAGGCCCCTCCCTGACGCTCCTTTTCATACAAACGATAATCGGGGCGCTCAGAGCCACTTCGACCCCCGGAGGCTGAGTGGGTGCCTCACGGTGCACCCAGGACACCTCGTCCCCGAGGCCCTCGGAGCGCCCTCCGGAGCGCGGGCTGTGAGGACGTGTGAGACCTGCGGCACCGCAGGGAGGGGACCGGGCCCAGGGCCGCAGCCGGTGGGCGGGTACTCACAGGTCGAACACCAGGTAGTGGAAGCCCTCCTCCGAGATGCTGTCGTGCAGCCGCACTGCGGGGGGGAGGGGGGAGAGAGAGAGAAGCGTTACACGTGTGGCACCCTCCTCCCCACAGCGCCCTGCGCGCCGCAGCTCCACCGCCGGGAGGGCTGGCCTAAGTGTGACCGGCTCCACAGAAACCTAACTGCCCTGCCGGGGGGGGCGCGAAGGTGAAGGGGTGGAGTGGCCAGGCTGCCGGTGAGGACCTTGGTGGCAGAGTTGTGTCTGCCCCTGGATGCGGAGTGCCACCGGCCACGCCGTCCTCACCGGCAGGGCCTCCCTCACCGGCACCCCCATCAGCCAACAGGACCCCGTGAGAGCGCTCCACTCCTACTCCTCCCCGCGGACATGGTTTTCATGGATTCTACAGAGGAAGGAGGGGGAGAGAGAGAAACCCACCGGCTGCTCCCCTGTGCACGGACCAGGGTCACACCCACAGCTGTGTGTGCCTCGCCCGCACAGGCCCGAGCCCCTGTGCGCAGGATGTGCTCTGATCGTGGGGCGTCTGGTTGGGGTCTCTGCCTCTGGGCTGCTTTCCTGGGAAATCCCCACACCGCACCCCCTGGCCGACCTGTCCACTGTTTTCTTTATGACGCTGCTTCTTACCCGGCACTTACCCGGTTAGAAGCCAAACACGTGCAGCTAGAACTTCTCATAAAATCATCCACTAATGCTGCTTAAATGTTTGCAGGGGGCTAGGCTCTTACTGATAACTAGCCAAGCAAACGTTTCTCTTCTGAACTAAAACTCTTGGCGTCTACCTTAGCCTCTGAGGTTAACACTCATGCAGACTCACACTGCTTGTTCTGTTCATTTCACATAAGCCTCTCCCAACTCGCCCCACGGATGGCCAACCACCTGATCATACCACTGCCTGTGTGCCAGGCCGTCGCTGGAGGCTGCAGGGGCAGGCGAAGCAGCCACCTCGTGGGACCTGCATCTGAGCAGTCAGGACCGGACACGACGCACCACGGCCTGTCCTTAGCGTGTTCTCCACGCGGTGATGACTGCCATGTGGAAAGGTGGACTCAAGAGAACCCTGTAGTCAGACCCAACTACAACCACCTGTGAGGGGCTTCACAGCACCTGCTCCTCCCAGGCTCAGACCCAATGCAAGGCATGCTTTAATTCTTTCTGTTGGTTTGTTTTGTTAATCCTCACAGAGGATTTTCCCCTATCGCTTTTCAGAGAGGGGACCGAAGGAAGGGGTTGGGGTAGAGACAGATAAAGAGAAACATTTATATGAGGGAGACACATTGACTGGTTGCCTCCTGCACATGCTCTGACCTGGAGCAGGAGTGAACCTGAAACCTAGAAAGGTGCCCGTGACTAGGAATCAAACCTGTGACCCTTCGGTGTGTGGCTGACCACACTGGCCAGGGCCGAAGTCCATTCCTGAAGTCCAATGCCAAGCCCTTCAGGCTTCATCCTGGCCTGCTACTGAACCTTCCTGCTCCTTCCCCAGGAATTTCCAGGGCAGAGCCCGCCCCCCCACCCCCGCCCCCCGGCACTCCCCCTCCCAACTCCCCACCCCATCCCACCCCCGCCTCCCCCTCCCAACTCCCCACCCCACCTCCACCCCCCACCCCCAACCCTCGGCACTCCCCCCCCCCAACTCCCCCCCACCTCCACCCCGCCCCTGGCACTCCCCCTCGCAACTCCCCCCCTCCCAACTCCCTCCCCACACCTCTCCCCCCCCCCCCCCCCCCGCCCTCGGCACTCCCCCTCCCAACTCCCCCCCCCCCTGCTGTGGCAAGTGAGCGTCCTGTCCTAGCAGGGGACCCTAGAACTCAGGGGTGGGGTGGCCGCGCAGTCCCTCCTCCCCGCCTCGGCGCTGCCTGGACGTCCAGCAGCCTGGCTAACTTGCGCTAGCTAAGGGCTGAGCTTTCTTCACCAACAGACCACGCGGGAGCCGTGCCTCACAAACCCGTGTCACGCATGCCCTCCGGGACTCCGGCGCGCTTCCAGGGCCAGCATGCCCCCACCCCCAGCACCTGCTGCCCACATGGCAGTGCCGCCTCCCGGAGCAGAGCGGACGGTGGGCCCCTGTCTCATCTGCATTAGCCTGCTGCCCTCCTCTACACGGGCGGGGAGCCTGGTTTCTGCCAGGGGCCATCTGGATATCTATCACATCATTTGCGGGCATACACTTAAAACTCTAAACATTAACGTTTCATTAACTCGCCCCTAATGCCTCGGCAGGGCAGGGTCAGACCGAATGGTTTTGGTGACTCCCACAGCCTGTGGGCCGGCATTCCCACCGGGCTGGTCTGCCTGCTCCCAGGCTCGGCCACGGGGTTTCCTGAGGGCCTCTCTCCTCAGGGGCGGACGGGCGACTGCAGCAGTGCCCATGCCTTGGTGAGCTGAGGGTGCGGCTTAGAGCCCACAGGGGTTGTGAGAGGTAGACTTTTGGCCAGTGGTCGGCAAACTCTAGTCAACAGAGCGGCAACGGCAGCTTGTGAGCCGCAGTTTGCCGACCGGTTATAGGCTATGAGCCACGAGGAGTGAAAGTCTCACTGTGCGCCCAGGCCCAGGGAGCAGAGCGGCCAGCGCCGCGGGGGACCGGCACTCACACCTGCTTTGGGGGACACAGGTTCCTCAGTCCAACAGCCACTGCTGTCCTAGCACTTGGCACAGTCGTCTCTGGGGGTGAATGATTCTGAACAAGTCCAGTTGCTCAGGTGCAATGCATCCTGGTGATCGGACCCTCTATTTCCGGTTAAAACCAGTCTCAGAAAGGCATCCTGCCAGGCAGCAGGACGGTAGAGACAAACCATTTGGCCAGGTCCATACTCCTGCATCACACAATTCTAGATGGTCCCCACGTGCCTGCGGGCGTCTGGCAGGGAGGCTGGTACGAGAAAATGTCAGGACAGCAGACACCCAGCCGCATCTTTACGGGAAATATGTGCACGTTCCTCCTGCTTCTCACAGCCCCTGCACCTCCTTCCAGAAACTGGGAAGTGTTTCCTGTGCTCATCCAACCAGGACACCCTGGCTCCATACAGGGCTCCACCAGCCAGCTGAACTCCAGCCTGGCCAAACCCCTCCCCTGAGACCAGGGTGTGGCCCGCCCCTCTACTGGCAGGGCCTGGCCCCGCCTCCTGAGACCAGGGTGTGGCCCGCCCCTCTACTGGCAGGGCCTGGCCCCGCCTCCTGAGACCAGGGTGTGGCCCGCCCCTCTACTGGCAGGGCCTGGCCCCGCCTCCTGAGACCAGGGTGTGGCCCCGCCCCGATACTGGCCGGGCCTGGGCCCGCCTCCTGAGACCAGCGCTGGGGGCGGGGCTGGGCTGGACAGAGCACCAGCAGCTCCTCCCACTGAGCGTGCAGAGGAAGTTAAGCTCTTCCATGGGAACTTTGAAGTGTTTAAACTGGCATGTTCTGAAGACTGGGCTTCACTTCTACCCATGAGTGGACAGCAAATCGTCGCTGGAGACATCCCCGTTTCTCCTCAGTCACTGCGTGCTGCTCTCGCCCAGGCTGCGACAGTGGAGAACAAGCCCCAGGTAATCATGCCAGTAATCCCATCTAGAAACGTGCTTTCTGCCGCTCTGATAACTTTTGGCGGCCTCGTCAGACCTCCCTGTCGGCAGCAGCAGGACACTGGGCCATGGACCCAGCCAGTACTCAGGGCCAGGCCAGCCCCTGTGGCCTCCACTCGTCCGCCGGCTACAGGCCCTGTCCTGCTCTGGTGCCCCTGCTCCAGGTCCCCGGTCCCCATGTGACGCTCACAGCCTGCGCGGAGCACAGTGTGGCGCCAGGACTCGCCGCAGGACATCTCCGCCAGCTCCGCTCACAAGCCTGTCCCTGCCGTCTCAGCCCCCCGCAGCCTCCGTGCGCCTGGAGACAGCACGTCCACATTGTGCTGCGGGGCCACGTTAGCCAGCCGCTCGCCACTGAGGCAGAAACGTGGGCTAAGCAGATGGTGGGTCTGAGAGCTGGCACGCGGGTGTCACCGCCATGGAGCTCAGTGGCCGCGCAGGCCGCCGGGGATCCCCCAGGCTGATCTCGGACCCCATCTGGAAGTGGCCCGAGGGCTGCTGGGCTCACAGACAATGTGAGAGAGCAGCGGACGCCTGGGCGTGTCTGCAAATCCTGAGGACTGACTGTGCACATCCCTTTCCACTTCCCGGGTCCTGGCTCCAGCTCTGTCATCGGACTCAGTGCCATCGCGACGCTGTTCGCACACACAGTGCTGCAGGGGGAGAGGGAGCTGTGGGCCGGCTAGGACATGAAGCTTTCTGATACACACGTTTCACCAGGTCAGTCCACCTGAGACTTCGTTTTCCAGACACAGTGTCCCTAAGTATTCCCACTCACCAACATCGCCGACACTCACAGGACCGCCGCATACCCACAGGGCATGTGCTGGAGCCCACACCAACGTCAACTGTAAAAGCCAAACACGACTCAAAACAACTGTAAGAATTTGGTTCTTCAGGGAAAGACAGATGGCATTAACTGATTAAAAGGAAGTTTTTAACTTTTTAAACTTTTTAGTAAGAAATTACTCAGTAAAAGCACGTCCTAAGTAGCACGCACCTGAGCAATGGCCACACACGCAGCGAGCGGACAGTCACCCAGGCGCAAACGTAACTGCCACCCACTCCTCTCCCATCGTCCGCCACGTGTCCAGTCCTCTGCACAGTGCCTGTGACGGCCACGGAGTCCTGTCCACACGCACACCAGCCTGTCCTGGGGCACTGAGCGGGCAAGGCTCCCCTGCCCCATGCTCCTTCGCTGTAGCTCGTCCTATAGTTTCTCTGGTGTCAACATCACATTCGCAGCGAAAACAAAGGACTGAAGAGCAGACTCTCTGCCTGCCTCTGTCCCGCCCTCTTAAGCCAGCCGCCACACCCCTCATGGGATGCTGCAGGGCTCGAGGCCTGGACAGGAGAGCACGTGACAGGAGCGCGCGGGAGCCTGGCCACCAGGGTGCACGCGCAGCACGTGACCACCCCCCCCATCTCCCCGCCCATCCATCCCACTCAAACCACAGCCCAGAGCACCGCTT